AACATGCTAAATTCATGAATCCCAGAGGAAAAAGGAATCCCCCCCAAACCTTGAGTTTCTAAATAAGTACCATGAACCACATGAAGAACTAATAGGGAAGATTCAAAACCCACTAAACAAGAGGTAAACGAGATCACCAGATAAATAAAAAAAAGGCTTAAAACAGACTCACCATATTTACACTTCCCATTAAATTACACATAAATAAATATATACAGAGACATGAACACTGATTCCCTTATATAACTGAATCGTGTTGCCAGAGAAAGTTCAAGTTGGTCGCTTTACCTTGGAGAGGAAAAACTTCTACAACTGAGACATGACATGGAACTTCGTGTATTTGTGTTCAAGTTTATTCACAATACTGATAAAAATGTCATTATCCGTTTGCCTTATTTAAGTATGGCTACAATCTGAACTGAAGTATGTAAGAGAAGGTGGTGATGCAGTCCCATGAAGCTCATATAATTTTTTTAAATTTTTACGTTCTTTTTTTAGAAAAAAAAAAAGTTTTAAGTTTTTGTTGTTGTTGCCATTGTTGATGTGTGGGGTTTTTACTTATTTAAAAAAAAAAAAAAAGTTCACAAACTCCGACAGAACTTTTCTTTGCTGGCTTCACGGCCTGTTCTGTTCTTAGGCTCCACATGAGGGCAAAGGGTTGATGCTGATCTGGGAAGTTGAGGCAGGGCCTGAGTCAGCAGGGGCTACCCACTGACAGTGCAGAGCAGTCCCCGGACTCCCAGACGGGAGGACTGAAGGCGGTGGCGGCGGCGGCGGCGGCGGCGGCAGCAGCAGCAGTAGCAGCAGTGGGGGTTGCTGATCCCGGAGCTGTCACCTGCCCGGGGTGGTTGGTGCGGGGAAGACGGAGTGGGTGGGCGCTTGGGGGAGGGGCTGGGCGGGAGGAGCCTCACTTTCTGTGTTTCTCCTCTTTGTCACTGCTTTTGGCGCTGTTGTCCGTGTGGCTGTTGGGGTTGTTGCTGAGGTACATTTTGTCCATGGCCTTGAGGGCCTCGGTGAGATAGTTCTGCAGGGCAGTGACCGCGGCGCACACCGCCGGGCTGCCGAAGCCGTGGGAGATGAGGTTGAAGTGGGTCAAGCAGCTCTGGATGCCGGGCTCCAGGATGGGGTTGGGCCGCGAGTTCCCCAGAGGAGATCGGTCCTGGGCCAGCAGGTCGGTGAACTCTTTGCATATCTGTCTGCAGCACAAGGGAAGCAGAGAGAGAGGGAGACATGAAACTCCTCTGGGGCAGCACCAGCAGCAAAGATAACCTTTCTCCCTACACTTACCTCTGCCGGGATCCAGCAGACTCTGACCTGACCCAAGACCCCAGCCCTAGAGACAGAACTACAGTGGCCACATGCTGGAAGACCCTGCAGTGTCCACTAAAACATCGCCGCTCCTTCTTTAAATATTTCCACTAATGTGTCAGTCCCTGACTTTCTTCCCCACCTCCCCCTCCCGCCTCTCAGCTATACCAAACTTCTAACCCCCTCCTCTCTTGCTCACACCAAACATCCTAGTCACTGGAAAACATTTCACACAGGAGAAGAGAACAAAGGACAGTAAGAGGGACAAGGAGTCAAACATGAGTCTCTCTTCAATAGCCAACAGCATGCGGTCATCCGCTGTCCTATTGAAAATATTACAGAAACCCTCTTCTCTGGTCTTCTAGAGAGACCTCAGCAGCAGCCTGTGGGATGAAATCTCCATTCATTCACCTTCTAATCAATTGCATGTGAACAGAAAGGCAAAACTTTTCTTGGGATTATTTTACCTTTAAAAGGGGGGGGGGGATGAAAAACCCATGACTTGGGGGTATTTAGAGTGGTTTGGAGAAGAAGAAACAGTTATTTCAGTTTCCTATTCCATGTCTTTCCTCATACATCAAAATAAAATAAAACTCTAGGGAAATTGTGAATATGGGCATGCTTCAAACCTAAAGAAAGAGAAAAAACTGAAATACAGGAAGATGAGGCCTGCACACTGGAAGCCCTGTCTCTGAATGTGGGAAACAAGGATCAGCTGGGCCTTGGGGATGGGGTTGGGTGGGGAAGGGAGAGGGGAGAATGGGGAGCACTGGCAGGCTGCTTTCCCCAGGGCTGATAATGTCCCCAGGCCAAACACTGCTCTGCCTGAGGCCTCAGCCTCTGCCCTCTGGTTCCATGCCCTCCTGACATGGACTTTGATAATTAAAGGCTTCCAAACAAGCCTTTTAATGTTCAGAAAACATACCAAGATAGTCATTTTCTTTTCACATGCCACCAGGAGAAGCCTATTCTACCCAAGCACCCATGGGAATTTAACTTGGGGCCATTTTGAAACCTACTTGATAGCTTGCCTGTGGGCTAACACTTGTGGGTGTGTGTGTGTGTGTGTGTGTGTGTGTGTGTGTGTGACTTTCTAGAAGAAAGGAAGCAAGAAATAGGATTGGGATTAGGGGTGAAACTAGGACAACTTCTGGTTTGCACATTTTGCAGGCCACTACTTACTCCTTGCCTTTGGATTAACAACTAAGGGTTAGAAAACAAAAACTGACTTGGGCAAGAGAAAGAAACTGATATAGACAAGCTTGTTTACTCCTTTGATGACTTGATTCTGGTCTTCTGAAACAGCATAGTCACAAATCCACATTCAACTTCTATCAAATCCCTACAATTCCCCCACCCCAACATGCATCAATTGTTTGTAATGGGAAGGTGAGACAAAATACACAGAACAATTCTACTTGTATCTCTTTAAATTCTTTTTATATCCCTTTAAAATAGATTATGATTTATCAGATTGTGTTTATCAATATTTACAACAACAAAGCTGACTAACACAAAAGGAAAAGAGAAAAGTGAGAGCAAATTTGATTTTTGTTTTTCTTCACAATGAGACACAGAGACCCTGAAGAGGTAAGTGCCTTACTTTGTAGCCAGGAGCATGTTTTTTCTTGTCACTTGCTCATTGGGATCGGAATGTTGTCGGTTGAGAAATTCAGCTACTGCTTTGGCAGGAAATTCGGTTTCACACACGTACCCAAAGTCCCTGGCTAGGTGGACGGCTTCTCCTGGCAAGAGGTGAGAGGAGGGAGGCGAGTGCAAGAGAATGTAGAGCTGGGATCAAAACTTCCTCCCAACTCCCTTATTTTCTTAAACCAGATGTTGAAGGAAACACAAAATACTTGTTTTCTCATTTCAGGCATTTTATTTCCTTCTCTGTAGAATCTGGTGGATGTAGTTATCAGGAAAATGGCCACTTACCCTAGAAGGCCAAGATGATTTGAAAATGTAAATCTCATCCACTACCCTCATCCCCACCCTGATAACACTTTCCCAACTTCTCTTTTAAAATGTCTCTTGTATTCCAATCTCACACCTATCCACGCATTCATAAATGGTATGCATAATTACTCCTTGAGCTTTTCTGCAAGGTAACAACTAAGGGTTTACATTTTAACTTGATCGCATATAATTATCTGTTCATCCAAACCGATTAACCAAGAGGATTTGAGGGTCACTCCACTGAGTCTGTCTGTGTTGTTGATTTTCGAATCTTTGGTTTTAATTTCCTGAACCAGTTGGTTTTTACTGCAGGGCTTCCTGCCATTAGCTCCAGCTCCGGAAGAACGCATGCGCCAATTAGAGCATCAAAGCCCTCTCCGCAGAGCTTGTTTCCATAAAATGGAGCGGATCACAAACAATAACAGTTCTCCAGAAACTGCCTCCCTGCTACAGGGCCCAACCCCAAAACCCACACATACTCTCACACTACACCCGAACTCATAACTACTTTTTTTTTTTTTCATATAGGTCTTTTGGAGTATGGATAGTGCATTTTCTATGTATTGGTATTATTTTTAATAGCATGAACACAGTGCTACTGTAGATAGTTCCTGGCACTGAACAAATGCTTATTATTTAGCAGTTATATTATTGTCATCTTTGACACCATTTTCAAATGGGTCATAGGGTTTCTCCTCAAATTTACAGTTTTAAACATTTTTAGTTATTTACACAGCTAGAAGTTGAATTCAACTGTATTATACCTCCTCAAATAGAAAATGCAAATAAGATAAAATGCCTTCTGCAAATATAAATGGCAGTTTTGAAATCTGCCTGATAACTTAAGTGTCCTTTCCCCTATAGCCAGAAGGCATTTCCAGCAGAACACAAAGGAAAATGCAAGAGAGCTATATATTTATTCCAACACACTCAACTTAAGCCAATTTGGTGTCAGAAAAACTTAACAGGAATCTAGAGGAAGCAGGAATCTGAGAAGACTCTGGTGACAGTGCATCTTAGAGCAGGGAGTGAGGATGGGGTTGGCTTTTGTTTTTGAGGGGTTTGGAAGCATGCATGTGTATGCATTGTGTGTGTGTGTGTGTGTGTGTGTGTGTGTGCATGCATGCATGTGTGCGTGTTTAAAACTGCCAGGAGAAACTTTTTGCAGTGCTCATCTTTCTTATTTCTTTTTATATCCAAAGCAGTTCAAAGTCTAAAATCACTCACTTTTCTTCCCTTCCAAGTAAAGAAGCACAATTAAAAAAGAGATAGGGAGCATATGTTTGGAAAACAAAAACTAAAAGGGTATATTACCCTGAGCTTTCAGGATGGTCTTAAATCAGGATGCAGGTCAAAGATTCTCAAATTAATTCAGGAAGTAATGGTCACGCATTTCTCAAATGCAGATGTCAGAATACCTTAAGTGATTTACTGCTGAGCTCTATAAGGGAGACAGGAACTTGGAGAATATGCAGTTCTTTAATTTTCACATTGTTTAGGTCAGAATTGGGCTAGGGAGGTGTGATTTTGTGGCAGAGGGGAAGAGGAAAGCATGATAGGAATAAATGCAAATAGTTTTTTGACATGCAAGAATTTCATTCACTTCCTGCTACATACTCTGGAAAAAAATGAAACTGCCCAATTGTCACAAAATACAACCAAACATCTGGCCACTAAGTATTACCCATTTTTTCAGAAGAAGCTTCCCTCTTGTTACCAAGTAGACTCGCTTACCCTCCACTAGTGATGTGAGCAAGGTGACATTGGCAGCTTTGCGTCTCCCTGCTGGCAGATTTAATCCTATTTTGTCCAACTTTTCTCGTAAAGATCTTCCTCCATTTTTAGACTTCGCCCTGTTTCACGAATATAGGAAAGCCATTTAGAAAACATTGGGTTGATCTGCATCATATTATAGTAATTTTGACAACTTCCTAAAATTAAGAATCACAGCCCAGAGATTTTAAGGGAGGGAAATCTAGGAAGAAATGGAGACAAATGCTTATTAAACTGTAAAGCATCTTCTGTATTCAGTTATTATTGCAATTATTGTGGCAGGTTAAACAGTTTTGATTCCCCAGCTCTCTAAAGAACCACAAACAAAAACAGCTCTCACCTCTAGGGTTTAAGGTACTTTTTAGTTCAACTGGTCACTGTATATTTTCCCTGTTGTTACAATCACATAAACCCCAATGGGGTCTTTAAATTGTCTTTGTAAGATCTGCTGTTAGGTTGTTCAGAGTAACCAAAGTTATCATCACTCTCACGTTGCTTGCTCTGGCTTTAGCCCCAACGGGGAATTCATTTCACCAACTGTTTACATGCAATGTCACCAGCCTAACTGGAAATGTCAAAAGCTGATATCAGCCTTTAAAAATTTCCCTGATTTTGAGACAATGGAGGCAGTTCTAAATAGATGTCTAAATAGACTTCCATAATCAGAAAGTGGTTAAGATAAATTGTTTAAATAAAACAGCAAATTAATTAATTTCAGATTTTATTCCCTACTCAAGTGCTCTTTAATTGTGTGGATTAGATTATACTCCCCTAGGTAAACAGTCTCCAATATTGGGGGTGGGGGAAGGGGAGGAAAAGGCAGAGGGCGGATTCAGATCTGTGATAGTGAAAGATTACAAAGGGACAGCCAAATGACAGTGAAGGAGGAAGAAAAGATTAAAATAGCTGATGTTAAAACCTTCCAAGAATGGTTTTATAGGCTTTGAATGGGATGTACCTATCAGAGCAGAACCAAAAATCTCATAGGTAGGTAAATGAGTATCAAAAGGATAAACTTTTTATCTACTTATTTAAAAAAAAAAAAGGAAGAAAGTATTTATCTGGGAAAGCTCAACCCAAGACCCTCCATCGGTGGGACCCTAGAAGAAAGCCCCCAGGAGGGAGGAACCTGCCCTGAGGGAAGATGCTTCACCTCGCTGCCGCTTATACAATTTTATCTACGAAACGAATCATTCGGACCTCGCGGGGGTGAGGCCACGTATGGAACGTGTATCCGTCGGCAGTGACTGCACCTAATGCTGCCTGGCACACATCGGCGCCGCCATACATCGCAACCACGAATGCGAGTGCCTTGGGCACCGGGAGTCACCTCGGGGCGGAGGTGGTAATGACCGGCGGGCGTGGCTTGCTGACTCGAGAGAAAGCAACCGTCTCCTACTTAAAATTCTATGCTAGGAACGACGGGCTACCCGCCGGAGACCCTACACGGAGGTGAAGAAAAGTGAGGAGCCCGAGAGCAAGTTTTCCAGGGCCGGCAAGGTGCGCGCGTGGAGGTAAAAGGCGGCTGCACGGCGCCCCGCGGCTGCCGCAGCCGGGACTGAGCTCGCGGCGGAGCGAGCTGCGCGTGCGCGCCGGGCGGGGAGGGAGGGGCCGGAGGGCCAAGCGAGCGGTTCGCCGCCACCACCCCGCCGCGCGCCAGGCCCCGCCCCCGCGAGGGGAGGGGCGGAGGAGGCGGGCGCGCCCCGCCCCAGCCCCGCCCCCTCCGCAACCCGCCTTCGCCCCGCCCCTTTCCTTTCCCGCGAAGGGAGGGCCGCGGCGCGGGGTCCGGCTGCGTCGCGGCCGGGCGCAGGCGCAGTGCGGCCCGGGCCGCGGGCGGGGAGGTCGGGCCGCGCGGGCCTCACCTCCGCAGCACTCCGCCCAGCAGCGAGGCGTTGAGACACTCGGGCGGTGAGAGGCGCCGCTGTACTTCCGCCACCGTGACCTTGTACTTCGAGGTGGAGCTGAGGAGCGAGAGGCGACCCGGAACCGAACAGAAGACCTCGTTGGGGTTCACGACGCCACCGAAGAGGTTGTCCTTGTTAATGGGGATGGCGGAGACGGCGTTGCTGTTGGACTTGGACAGGGACACGGGGCCTGCGGAGACAGACCGGAGGCCGTGTGTGGGAGCCGCGGACCCCGCCCCAGGGTAGCCGGACAGACGCTCCTCCCCGGCCGGGGCAGGCGCCCAGGCCCGCGCGGCAACCCCCCTTTTTCTTCCAGCTCTGAAAACTCCATGGCTCCTTCCCCACCTCCCGCCCTACTCCGACCTGAGATCAAGGCTTCTCCTCGGCGCTCCGCACCCCCCGGCCTGGAGCTGCCCCCACCCAGCCCGCCAGCCAGGCCTGTGCTTCTGCCCGGACCCTTTCCTCTTAGCCTCGGGTGCTGCCTGGAGAGGGTGGTACAATTGTGAGCCGCTGAGCTCTCAAGCCTCCAGAGGACTGTGGGCCCCAGACAAGATGCTCCAGCACGGGCTTGGGGTGCAGGGGAGGGCGTTACGTTTGCAAACCAAGAGCAAGCAAAAACTATGTGTCCTTTGGAGTTTTGTGGAAATGAGGGGTTTAGTGTTGGGGGGGACCCGGGGGCGGGGGGAAGTTGCTTCATAAACCTGCAATTAAAGTCAGCCCAGAGTTTAGACGGCAAATCAGCCTGTAAATGAGCATTTTCAGTTAAGGCACCAATCTGGGAAGCCGTCTGTTGACACACAACACGCGCCCCATCCTTTTGAGAAATAGGCCCTTTCCTATGTTTAGTTTTGAGAAAGACTCGAGTTTTGAAGAGCCATTCCAAGCCCCGTTTTTTGCTAGAAAGAAGGATAAACAGGCCTAGCACAGAATACTTCTGTTGAGCAAATAGTTAAAAGCCCTCTGCTTAAGCGTCCTCGTTGGGAAGGCAGGGAGGATATATTACTAAATTCTTTAGTTCTTCATTGTTGGACCCATCATAGTTAGAAAATAATTTCAAGTCCAGCAGAAAGTGTACTAACGTTACATTTCTTGACACCAATATAATTCGGATGCATTCATAACCATTTAAACATAGTATGTATTTGTATTTTTAAAATTCCACTTGGAGACATATATAATAATATGTATACATTCTCATTGCCTTAACTCCTCCCTCTTTAATGGGATATTCTAGATGTATGGAGAGGTGGGGGGCTCTAGTTTTGGATAGATCACTTGTGACATTAATAGCTCTGGGGAGGCTAATAGAGACAATAGGAGTTAAACGAACTCTTGAGAGATTACTAATAAAAGAGCCAATTATCGTGTCGACTTGGAAAGAGCATCTCTTAAGATTTATCCCTTGCACATCTAATTTGATGTGACAAAGACTTCACAGATGCAAAAATGAAACTCTAAACTCGCTAACAAGCTGATTGGGGTTAGAAATGAAATGAGAACAGTTATATAGCATTGGCCTCTGGTGGTGCCTAGAATCCTGAAATGTAACATTGCCACCATAACAACAACAAAAAAGCTGCTGTGAAAACATTTAATCCAGTAAACTTTATTTCTACTCACTAAATACAATACAAATTACAAATCCATCCAAATCACTGGTCACTTTTAAACAACTTTTTTTTTTTTTTTTTTTGCTTTGAACAATTATGCTAAGAATTCTGACATCTTCAAGATGGTAATTTTTTACCAAAAGCCAAATTTTTGTTAACCTAATTCACAAAGTTTAAAAACTTAAAGAGCTAATGAGAAATCGGATTGAAAACGAAGGTTTTTTCCCCCTCTGCTAAGGAATGCAATGTCTTTTTATCATCTGCCCTTATATCAATAGTAATTATTTGCACTGTTTTAGCATATCACTTCTCAACACTCCTGGCCACTCACACAAATAAACTATTAAAACATTTCAAAATTGAAATGCCATTTCCAAATCAGTTAAACTATTACACATTTTATGTGTTTGTCCAGATATCATTAAACTAATTAAATCATGAATCAGAACAAAGCTAGCCTGTTGCCATTGCTAACCTACTGAAAGCCAATCATTCAAGCATTGCTGTTCTATGTCTGTTTGCTAATTCTGAGCCTTTAGGAAAATCGTATTTGAAAAAAAATAAATACAGCTCTGCAAGTTCTTTTAAATAGCACCATGCCTGTAAGGACATGCTTGGAATGCAAAAGGAAATGGCTTACCTTTCTTAATTACAGTTTGATCTGGGATGTTAATACCCGGGTCTTCTACATGCTGCAACAAAAGGATACACATGGATGTAAGTGTATAATCAAAACAAAAGGAAATGAATATTCCGTGCAAGCTGGGGGGAGGGGAAGGTGTAGAATCAAAATTCCCCCCTTATAGTGACATTTATATATAAACATCTCATCTTGGCTTATTGGAATCTGGGGCTTTGCAACTCAAGAGGTTTCACTGCACACCCATGGCCAATTTCTCCCCCTCCCACAAATAATTTGAGTTTGAAAGAAGTGGGGGTTGGGAATAAAACTTTCTTTGAAAATTAAAATCAAGTTTTGGAGCACCTAATCTTTTTCACAATCAGTCCAACCTTTTAAAATGCACCTAGCATTACTTTGGCGCCTCAGTGGCTTCGGACTTTTAGTGATTCAAGGGCTCAGCAGCAAAAGCCAGAGAAACACAATAGAAATGACAGGCAGGACGGGTGTGCTGGAAACGCTTTAGGTAGTGTGATAAACATCAAATGTATGCACACATCTTCACCTATGAAAAAATAATTTGTGTTGTCTTTTTTGAAAAAGGGACTACTGCCTAAATTGGATATAGGAATAGAAATTATTTTTAAAAACAAACACAAAAACGTTTGAGGTTTTTTCTGTTGTCCAACAGCAGATTTGTTGGGGTGGGGTTTTCCTTTTTTTGCAGATGGATGGGTATATGTGTATGCCAGAGTCAAAACGTGATTAGAAAGTAAAATGAAATCATGTTTTCTAATGCAGAAACTGACAGGCAATATAATGTCTGGCTGTGTTTACAAATTAGCACCAGGGCTGCTGAGATAGAAGATTTCGCAATCGTTACCAAACACAGGCATTACCATTTAAAAAACTATTACTTCCTTCTCTAGTCTTTGTCCAACAATAATACTGATTCAAACATTTTCCATTCTGTCTTGGATTTATGCTCCTGTTAATTGTGCCTGATCGCAATGATTCCGGGTGGATGGTACTAAGTTGCTTTATTACAGGTTTTATTATACTCAATGCTCTCATTTGTAACTTGCCTAAAGTGCTTCTGGATTTAAGTATAATTAAATTGAGAAATGTTCAGAAATGAGTACTGCTGCAGTTCTTGTGTTTTAACTATATGGGGAAATATGATCCCTTTATGCATGCACCCTAAACTCATAAAGTAAATGTAGTGTGGCATAATACTTTTATTTGTGTTATTTCTAGACCTTGTCCATACAGGGAAGACTGTTAAGTTTAAAACCCCACTGAGATATTAATGATTAAATAATTTTCACCATCGATTTGATTTTCTTAAATATTTAGCAGTCATTCTTATTAAAGGTTAACTGTTGCAGCAATGGGAAAATTGAAAACAACCCTTTTCCTGACCCAAATTTCTTTGAAAGAATTTTTTTTCTTCTTCTTCTTAAAAGGTGGGGAAGGGAGGGGGAGAGCAGCAACTGGGTTTCCTTGTTTTCATTTGATCTTTAGGTTAATTTCTCCTACTGACCAATTTCACCGCAAAGAGGGACTATATAGGTGTTAAGAATTCACACCAACCGCTTTCGAATTTTTGCAAAGTAGAGCAATTCTAATCCACAGAAGTCTCAAAAGCTTGCAACATTATTTTGCAATTCTAATATTTCCAAAGACTTGGCTAGGAAAAAGATTCGGAGAATCTTTGGGAAGAAGTAAAATGATCACAACTTCCAGGCTTTTTTTTTAATTGTGCTTTTCTAACTATTGCTCCTTTCATTTTCCTTCCCAATTACTACACTGTTTAGTATCTGCCTCTAAATACATGTTGCAACACACACACACACACACACACACACACACACACTCGCAATGCTTACTAAACCCCACATTGGATCAAGTCCTACTCTGCTTTCCATGCAAGGCTGCTAAATTTAACCAACAAATTTCAGTGATTAACCGAGTTAAATGAAAGATGTAATAAATTTTCTATTTTCCTATGTAACTTAAAGTTTTAAATTCACCAAGCAAGCAGGTAAGTTCATCTGACCATTTTCTTTGCAATCTAATGCAGTAATCATTAAACTGTCAACGGACATATTGCTGCAATATTTGATGCAGTAATTTGAAATAGCATTTCAGCAAAAATCACATCCAGATACATTTCCTCTCCAAAGAAAAGCAGCATTAATAGAGCCTTTACAGCTTTAATAAAATTATTGGCTTGTTCTAATTCCATTTCAGGAAGGTTGTGAGGAAACCATAAATATGTAGGATTGAAGCAGAGATGCTGGTTTAAATTTAATTTCAGAAAGTATTTTCAAATTATCAATAGCTGGTTTACATTGTAAAGAGTAAATGTGCTAATATCATGCTTATTAAGAGATCATTTTAAACTACCTTTATTGATAACTGAATTAAAACTCAAGTAATGTTGCTCAATAGTTTCAGAACATTTAATTTAATATGGGGTGCAGCAGGTTCTGATAGGCATTTGGAACCCAGCTAATGATTTATGAGGTCAGCACTTAGCACCCCTAGGAAGAGAAGAAGGCTGCATTTTAATGTCCCTCTGCTCAGATTGGCTACTTAACTATTCCTTAATCAGGGTAGGGGCATACACATAACTTTCAGATATCACTAGTGCTTGTAAAATCCAGTAAAAATAATTTTTCAGTATGTCTTGCACACTTCCGTATGAGTTGCCAGGGCATTTAATGAGCTCTTTCGGTTGAATTTGACATCTTTTTTTCAGGACAGGGAGAAATTCCAACGCCAGACTCAGAGGTGGAATTAGATCCTCTCCCAATCGAAACAGTTTACTGTCTTGGAGAGGGGAAGATACCGTGGCATCCATCTGATTTATTTGTGTCGGTGGAAATGGTAATGCTTGCATTGTTTGAAGGATTTCCAGGAACCATTGTTCTACGGGCAGAACTCTCAACTTATTTTTAATTTTTAAATTCGGTTTGCCTATGTGGATCGTCCTTCAAGCGCCCGCCCCCCAAAAATAAAATGAAATTTTGAAAAAGTAAACACCGCTGAGGACAACCCGGGCCCGCCGGCCGTGTGTCCCGGCCCCTTCTCCGCGAGTGGGGCAGGGCTGCGCGCCCTCCGCGCCGTCTGCGCGGCCTCTTACCGGGACGTCCTCGATGGCATGAGGTAAGGAGTGGAGCGGGAGGTCCCCGAGGCCGGAGCCCAGCCCGTGCGGGCCGTGCAGCAGGTCCTCGTGCCGCCGGTAGTCCCTGCGGGGATCCAGGCCCGACAGCTGGTGGGGCAGCCCCCGGTGCGTGTGCAGGAGCCCAGACTCCTGGCTCTGCCTCTGGCCGGGCCAGCCCGGGTGCTGCGGCTGCGGCTGGGCGTGCAGGGGGTTCAGGCTGTAGGGGTCGTTGACGTGGGAGTAAGGATCTTGCGACTGGGAGTAGATAGGCTGGTAGGGCGGGGGGAAGTAGGGGGGCTGGAAGTCGGCATTGGGGGTGTGGGACAGCGGCGGGGCGCTCGTGTAGGGAGATTGACCTACAGTGCCCAGCTGGGGCAACCGCGCCGTCCCGTTGCTGGTGCCGTCGTGACGGTCCTAGAAGAGGGCGAGAGGAAAGCGAAGAGCGAGAAGTCAGGCGTCGAGGTACAGCTGTCCACACCGAACCCACTCCCCTTCCCCTCGGCAGGCCGCAGAAACGAGCTCCAAGTCGTTCCTTTTGGGAAACACCCCAGAAGTGAAGCGGGCCCTTCCAAAAACGCAGGAAAACAGACTGTGCAAATGTGGGGCGGAAGGGGCTCTCAGCTCGCTCTTTCCACGGTGGGGACGGGTAAGAAAAGGGCCTCCCGGAATGGAGCAAGATAAGCTGCAGCGGGAAACCTCCCTTAAGCAAAATTAAAATTCCTACTAAATATTAAACAGTAGAAGCGCCCCCGTACTCCCCCTACACACACCATTTGAACTGCGTTGTTTACCTTGTTCCACACACGTTCAAAGACTACTAGCATTCCCTGACTATTTAAATAGGAACATTTCGTAGTGGGGCTGTAACGAAGCACACGTTTAAATTACCAGCTTAAAGAAGGTTTTAGCTGCAGGTTGGGGTTGGGGGAGACTCTGCCTTTCCCGTTTCCTCAATTAGGAGCCCCTTTCTCCACACACAGCGTGGATTTGCCATATGGATGGGGAGAAGGGGACGTCTAGTCGATGTTTAAAATAGACTCAGCCCTCTGGGGTTTAATGAGAAGGTGCACCCCGGGGCGGAGGCCCCCACCCCTTCCACCCCAGCCCCAAAAGGCAGAAGAAACGCCTGACTTTCTGTTCCTCCACTGAAATTCTCTTGCAAAACAAGTGAACAGAGTTGATTCCAGAGCATGCGAGCCCTCGGAGGTTCGGACCCGGGCCCCCCTAGGATAGGGGCACATCGGGCTCCGTCTTTTTGTGTGCAAACGGGTTTAGCATCAAACGTTGAGAACATCTCAGGAACAAGTGGAGACGCGAGGAAATAAAGATGAACAAGGCGAGAAACGCGCCTTGGGGAGGAGCGGGCGAGGTAGGTCTGCGCGCCGGGAGATGCGGAGCAGGGACCGGGAATTTGAGGGTGGAAAAGAGCGAAAGAGGGAAATGCAAATGCAAAGGGTGCCCTGATGGAAACCTGGCGGTGCAGCCCGAGGTCTCGCGCAGCTCCGCCGCACCAGGTTTCCGGACCAGAATTCCTAAGGAAGCAGGGGTGGGGGTGGGGGTGGGACTCACCATAGCTGAAAAACTGTGAACTAACATCTGCGAAGAGTCTGGGGTAACGAGTCAGGGCGGAAAAAAACAAGCAAGCCCGGAGAGCCCGGCTGCCCCGCGGCCCGAGCGCGCCCCACACAAAAGGCCGGGAGTCCAGCGCCACCCCGGCTCCGGTCACCGCGCCGCCGCTCCCGCCAGCGCCGGAGCCCCGCTCCGGTCCATCCGAACTGGAACCACGATTCGAGCGGCGCCTTCAGCAGGTCGAACCCACGGTCTCTATCTTTCCGTGATCGGCTGTGATTCAAAGTTCCTTAGAAAACGAAAAGCCCCCCAAAAGAAAAAAGTGTGTGTGTGTGTGTGTGTGTGTGTGTGCGCGCCCGCGCGCGCGTGTTCCTTAATCCGTGTCTCCCCTCTTTTCTCAGTGGCGGCTCCGCTTGAGCTTCTAAATAACCGCGCCGGGCAGCGTTCCTGGAGCCTCCTAATAGCAGATATTCATGACTATTAATATTACACGAATACTTAATAAGGGAAGAATGCCTGGAAATCGAGCGTGAAGCGGAGAGGCAGCTCGCGCCGGGGCCGGCTCTCAATGCAGTCCATTGACGGCGGCCTCAGTGTGGCAAATCGGAGGCGGGGAGCGCGAGCGCGGGAGACAAAAAGCGGGCGAGAGAGCGAGCGGGCGGGCGCGCGGGGGGCAGCGGCGCGGCGTCTGGCGAATCACAGGGAAGGGGCAACATTTTAAAAGGTGGCAGGGCATGCAAAAGTGAAAGAGAAAGAGCGAGCGAGGGAGGCCGAGGGAGAGAGTGCGGAGAGAGGGAGAATGTGTCTGCGTGCGTGTGTGAGAAAGAAAGTGTGGGCGAGGGAGAGGAGCCCGGAGTGGGAGAGGGGAGGGAGGGAGGGAGGGAGGGAGGGAGGGAGAGCCCGGCTGAAGGGAGGGAGGGAGGGCGGGGGAACGGGAGGGGGAGGGGGCTGAGCCGGAGCGCGCGGAGGGGGAGGCCGCCGGGAAGGGGAAGGGGGAAGGGGGAAAGAAAGCGAGTGAGGACAATCGGACCTAAAAGGCTCGAGCAGACCTCGGGGTATCTTGGGGGCCGCGCGTCGCTGGCTGGAGCTACCGGGGACCGTGTCCGGGTGGTGTTGAACCGGCTCTGGGCACCGGAGGCGCTTCCCCGCCCTCTCCGGCCGCGAGCTCCTCCGCTCCGCAGCCGGGCCTGGGACTCGGGACTCGGAGGCCTGCTGCCACGCCGCTGCTCCATGGCCCGGGGCCCCACCCGGGACTGACCCTCGCCTCGGCTGCCGCCAGTGCTTCTCTCCAACACCCGGGGCTGTGCGCTCTGCCGCCCCGCCCTCGGCTCTCCGGGGCAGGGGCCGGGAGGGGACCGGGACGCGGCCCCTGATGCGCGGAGACGCGGGGCTGCCCAGCCTGGACGCAGCTTCCCGGCTCAAACCCGTCCGACTGGCTGGGCGACTCCCGCCCGGGGGGCCACCCCTTTCCCTACCCCCCCCCCCCCATGACAGGGCTCGTTCTCTCCCAGAGCGGCCGCCGCTGCCAGCCCGCCCTCCGGGCTGTCAGAACAAGCGGCACCTCGCCTCCTGCGTGTCCCTGCAGAGCCCGGCATAATGAGACAGCCCGGAGCCGGCTCGGGAACCCGAAACCCCTGCTCCGGCACCCGCCCGCCACAGCCAAAGTTGTAGAAACAGCCTTCACTCTATTTTCTCCCCCGTCTCGTTCCTCATCCTTTTATTTTTCCTTTTTTGCCTCGCTCACATATATTCACGCGCGCCCCCACAGGGTCTCTCTCTGGGGGTGCACGTTCCTCGCCTCCCACCGAGGTCCCACAGGCGCCTGGCGCCGCGCGGAGCTCAGCGCCCGGAGCGGCGTTTGGCCTCGGAGAAAGTGAGTGCCCGAGCCTCCGGCCACAGCCCGTGCCGAGGCAATTCACCCTGAGAGACTTAAGGACTGAGTCTCACCCCATTAGCTCGCAAAAGGCACCCCCCTTCTGAAAAACAAAGTAGCTGGTCTGATGTGGGGTGTCTGCACCCCGCGCCGCGGAGCCCCAGAGAAGTGCCCGTCTCGGAGGACGCCACCCGTGCCCATGGGGGTGGGGAGAGCGGAAAGAAAGGGCCCTGGAGAGGAGAGAGATTTAAAATAGCCTGCACATAGGAGGGGAAGGGAGGCGGGCGGCACCACGTTCACAGACACCCAGGCTCCGATGTCGGGGGAAGACAAGCCCCCTGCCGCCGCGCCCGCGCGGACCTCCATGTCCGACACTCCCAGCTCCAAACACCAAAAAGAAATAAAGGAAAGGGGTAGGGGGGTGGGGGGGAGAGCAAAAGCCAGGACTGCCACCTATTTATTTAGGTAATCTCCGGCCGCGGCCCCCTCCCCCTCCCGTGACTCATCGGCTCCTTTGGGCTGGGGCTGTCAGGGCGGCGGGAGCGGCGGCCGCCTGGCCCGGTCTCAGCGCCTCCCGCGGGCGGAACGGTAGTGCTGGGGCGGGGGGGGGGGGGGGGTTCTCCTGGTTGCTCCCCAAGAAACCGAGCTCTCGGGACCCGGGTTTTTAACGGGCTCCATCGGCCCCGCTGGCTCCGCGCACCGGAGGTCGCGTGCTGCCCCGCCGGGATTCCCACGGTTACGCGGGCGGCTGCGAGGACAGCTGCAGGGGGACCGGGGAGCCGGGAAACTCCGCGTCGCGCCGCCTCCACCCCCACCCCACGGAGGCGCCAACCGAGTGGTTCAGAGAAAGAAGCAGCGCGGAACTTCTTGAATAGAGAGAGAGAGTGTGTACCTGGAGCGGGCCCCGCAGCAGTTTGGGGGAAAGGAGTGATCGCAAACCGAACCCGCTAAACGGGAGATGCAACCCGGCCTAAAGCGAGGTGTGCGGCCCCCTCTCCACGGAGAAACGAGCCTTGATTTAAAAGGCTGGGGGATGAATACATAAGCAAATAAATAAGCAAACGCACACTCAGGATCAGAGAGGAAGTTAAAGAAGGTAAAGGGTTTTCTCTTTCCTTTCTCTTCCTGGTGACTTAGGCTCCCAGAGCCTCGCTAAAGACACGCGGAGTGCACGGGCGCGTGCCCTACTGCCAGCAATTGCTTCAAAACCCCGTGCTTGTCCCTCTTCTCGCTAGTCTTAGGCACAGACAATGTTGCCCAGAAAAGGGGGGGAGGGGAGTGGGACACGGGCTTCGAAGGGGCGAGATGGAAAGGGGAGCGTCCGCTGGCTCCGCTCCGACCTCTCCCCGGGTTCTTCGGGCGGACGGGAGCGGCGGGCGCTGCGCGGGGCAAAGTTTGTCCCACCCGCGCTTCTCGGCTGGCTGCGGAGGAGGAGGCGCGGGAGGGTCCTGAGGCCGCAGGGATAACTGAGCCGGCGCCGCGCTTACCTCGCAGTCCTCGTACTTGATATTATCCGTCAGTTTCCAAAGCATTTTCATGGATCGGCGTGAACTGATTTGCCCCCTCTCTGCCTCGCACCCAAGTGCAGCTACTCTCGGGGTAAGCGCAAAGTGCCGGCTGTGACGGTGAGCGGAGGAGGAGGAGGAGGAGGAGGAGGAGGGAGAAGAGGAGGAGGAGGAGGAGGGCAGAAAGGGGGAGGAGGAGGTCGAGGAGGAGGAGGGTGAGGAGGAGGAGGCGAGAAGGGAAAGAGCTCCCGTGTGCGCTCGGAGATCTCCCTCTAATGGTAGAAACTTTTCCCTTTTCCAGCTCTTTACCAACAGCCTAATCGCCTCATTAGCATATCAACAATAATCCAATTGCTTGCCGGCAGGACTCTCTGCCTCCGAACCAGGTATAAAGGCCGCTGGGAGCCGCCAACTGGCTCCTGGAGCGCACGCCCGCCATGGAGCCCCTGAAATCTCCCGAGCCCCGCCTCGCGCCCCTGCCCGTCCCCCCCTCCCCCTCCCCCATTCCTCCCGGGTCCAACACTCCGTCCCCTCCTGGAGGGAGAAGCCCGGTGCAGAGGCCAGGCTCCCGCAGAGGCCGAGCCAGGCTCTCCGCGCCTCTTCCCACCTCTGCTGCCCATAACGGCGGCGCTGTCCTTCCGGCCCCCTCCGATTTTATTAGAAATTATCCTTTTCGCAATTAAATATAACCACCAAACCAAGATCAGCGTAGTCACTCCAGGATTTTTGCCCAAGAAATGACCGCCTCCACCGGGGCAGCCACCACCACCTCGGGCCAGAGGTTTGGGAGTTTTATGGGCTTGGTGCTTTCCCCCCAGGTTGGAGGTTTTGCCGCCGAACGGCCTCCGTCGCTCGGCTGGGGTTTGCGATTCTTTAATTGCCGCGTGTAAAATAAAAATTGTACCCTGAAGAGGCCACTTGACAGCTCCAGGAGTTAAGTGATTTTCCTCTCGTTTGTATGAAGCTAGGGCCAAGTGATAACTCAACGTGGTGTTTGGACTGAGGGTTTCCTAGGCGCGATGTGGACAGGGGTACAGAACTCCTAGGAAGGCTCACAGGAGCTTCTGGAGTTGAGCCGAAACACTGACATGTGTGCACTTGCATGCATCAAAATAAGTCGCTGGGAACCAACTCTTCTCTGTGCTAATCTGCTCCAGTTTTCCCAAGATTCCCCTTTTTAATTAAAGCAAGGAGAGTTCCTGCATGATTTGGTGGTGTTACCCACGCGGGCGAGCTCGGGGCGCAGTGCCCGGCTGCCCCGAACCAGAGCCAGGGCAGCCATTCCCTTGGCCAGGCTGGCCAGTCTAGGCTCTCCCCCTCCACACAGGGGCCTGCTCACCCCAGGGCTTTATTTTTCCTTCAGTTTTAGCAACATTTTTAAAGAAGAAAGAAAAAACAACAGACTGATACTCAAAATACAGAGTAGTTAATTTCTCTGGCTGAGCTTGCTCATTTGCCCCCACACAAAAAGTTTCTGTCTTTCTCCCACTTGAATACCGAAAACTCCCCGACAACAGTAGGTCTCGCCTCAAAGCTGCTCTACTCACGACCTCAGATTCCCTCTGGCCCTGTTTCTTGAAAACCCCTAAGCCTCCCAGATTTCAGCAGCGTCCTCAAAGTAGGGTAGAGGCTGTTGGAAACTGGAGCTTTCTCTAACAGGTGGAGCGAAGGCAGAGAGAGGACCCCCTCCCACAAGCCTTGTAGAAGGGCAATTCTCCCTCCAGAGGAGGGCAGCGACTTTCCCAAGACAGGCAGAGTAGGCCAGAGACCCCCCAAAAAAAGTTAGAAAGAAGACTAGAGCTAGAGGGGAGATTTAAACTGGGGGGCGGGGAGGGAGATTCCCTCCCCACAACTGAGCACTCCCCTTCTCCCCTCCTCCCTCCTCAGAATACTATAGTAGTCTTTGGGCTGAGCCCAGCGAGGGGCTCCCAGAGGCACCTTACTCAGGAAAGGGTCAGCTCTAGTGCTGGCACACTCGCCCTCTGGGGCTGCCCGGGGTTCGCTTTAAGCAGGGAGATGGGCCGCTGGGAGGACTGACACCTTCCCAGCGGGGCAGCAGACGCAGAACGTGATCTGTAGGCCAAACCCCAGGCCTGGGAGCATGGATTCCCCACCCCTGAACTGCACTAAGGCGTGTTTAGAGGAACTCTTGTTTCGCTTTCTTTCTTTCAGTCTGCGGGCTGGGGAAGGCATAGGCTCTTCATCTTTTCAACCAGCCGCTCCTGCTGCTCCGCACCCCGCCGACCTGCGGCTCCGCACCAGCCGGAGCTGCTAAACTGTTGTCGTATTCCCGCCGAGGGCGCCTTTGAGGTGCAGATTGGGGCCTGCGGGCTCCGCGCCTCCGCCGGCGTTCTGGGCACCAAAGAAAGGCCCGGCCGGCACCCCATCACCCCGGAGCCGGCGGAGCGGCCTGAGAGGGAGCGACATTACCACCACAAGTCCCTTGTTTGCATGTCAATAGCCCTGCCTAGCCAGAACCCCAGGACAGCAGCGCCAGGCCTAGGGTTAGGGGTCCCAGGCCAACTTTGGGGCCCTGAAGAAACTAAGGGCATGTATGTGTGTGAGAGTCAGAGATACGGAGAGAAACAAAGAGACAGCGAGAGGCCAGAATGACTCTATTTTCTATGGTTGTCACTACCCAATGGGACCCAGGAGCCCAACAGGACAACCCCAGAACATCTCACTTTTCAGGACCCCAAATCCTCAGCGCCCCACTTAGCATTCAGGCTTCCCACCGCTTGCCAAACTGTGAGCTCGCAGGGGCAAGGTCCAGGGTTCACTCCTTTCCCCTTCAAGCTGTAAAAGCTTGCTGCTTCTGAACCTTAGCTGGGCCTACCGGTTGGAGGCCCAGACCCAGGCCCAGCCTCTACTCCCGGCGCCTTCTCACCACCGAGGAGTTCAGAATTCTGCAACAAAGTCCTTCCGGCTTGAGGAGGAAACCTAAACCCCTCTGCCAAAGCACTTCCCTCCTCTTCAACCTCCGGAGGAGAGAATGAAGATGAGCCCTGAGCCCGCAGGGACAAGGGAAAGAGGTGTGCTATCCCAGGATTTGTATTTGGTATGAGATTTGCATCCTTAAACCACAAAGTTAGTCTAACTTTGGGGATGGCATTTTATTTAGTGAGATTTACCTGCTGGGGAGAGGTATAAGAGCTCACGGTTGATCTTTAAAAAGTGTAAGGAAAGAAATTAGTATTGCGAGATGACTTCCTTTCCCCAAACTCCAATGAATGCAGTGAAGACAGGACTTCTCTGAACTTTTATTGGCCCAAATTCGAAACAAGTGCAAGAACTCGAGCCACAAGGAGTAGGCCTGGACTTCTCTTTGGGCCGATCAGGGCGTTTGGTTCCAACCCACCTGCGAACTTTTAGGCACATGGAGCCTCGCCCTAGCCAGGCCTTGCTTTGCAGGGGCAGAAAACAGGGCCCTGGGGTTCCCATTATGAAATCAGAGACAGGAGAGAGGCTGCTACCCTCACCAATCCGGCCAGGGCCGCCCTAGTTCCCAAGGGGAACACGTCTGGAAGTCAGGACAACTCTGGACGAATGCTCCGGATGCCGGGTCAGGTTGCGGCTCAGGGCGGGCAGAACCCGGAGCCTAGCTGGCAAGCCTGAGGCGTTGATTTCGGAAAATTTTAGATCTTCTGCCTCATCGCCAGCCATTCACACACACCCGCATCCAGCCACCCCGTCAGGAGCCCAAGAAGCGAAAACTGACTTCAGGAAACGGACTGAGTGAGAAGCTAAACTTAGCGCAAACTCTTTTTAAGTATTTTCCCAAAGAACATGCTCAACCCGCGACCTTTCTTACATGTGGGCCCCTTTCCATTCGCTACAGGTCCCCAAAACGTGGAGACACACGGAGAGACAGGTGCACCGGAACCCCACTTCACGCACAGCCCTGGGGTCTGGGACAAGACCGAAGGCGTAGCGAGCAGGGAAATCTCCTCATGGCGCACCACAACCCCCGCCCAGCACCCTTCCTCCTCCTGAATTAGTCATCCAGCCCCGTTTCTGCTGAGGAGGGGGGGGGGGGGAGCTGCATCGCAAACTACAGGTGACCCCTCCCCCGGGGCCACCGTGGGAGCGGGCGCCGGACTTGCCCCAGCGCCCGGCCCGCGGGCAGCGCGCGGTGCCCCCAGCGCCTCGGCACCGCCTGCGCGTCCTCCTGTCCTTTCTCCCCTAGGAACTCTCCGGGGCGCAGCCCGGCGCGCCTCACCTACGACTCCTGCCCTGGGCTAAGGCTCTTCCTCTCCGCCTACCCCTCCCGGCACCCTCCCCCGTCCACCCCCGCCCACCTCGGCCCCAGCCCAGGCAAACCCCCCGCCCACCTCGGCCCCAGCCCAGGCAAACCCCCGTACCTGCCAGTCCCCCATTTTGGCAAGTATGGACATCGCGTCTCGGCGCTCCTGGCGACGGGTCCCCGCCGGGCATGGGCTGTAGGGCTCGACTGGGCCCGCTCCCTGGAATCGCTTAGGCAAATCCTCCTTTTTTTTTTTTTTTTTTTTTTTTTTTTACCTGCTCACCAACATCTCACCTGGTCATAAAGAGCTGGGTTGCTACCTGCCGACGCATGCGCGCTAGCCCAGGAATTCACTCCGCCAGCTCCAGTGCCTGCGCCTCGCGGAGCTGAACTGGGAAGTGATGGATTTATAGCCGCGGCAATCTCGCCATCAACTCCAGCTTTTCCCCACAGCCCCAGCCCGCCTTCCCGGTCGGTCTCGGAACCAACGCAGACTGCCTGCCTGGGTGCACTGGGCGCTCTGCTAGTGCGAGAGCCTGTTTTCACACTCAAGCATTGGGGGCATCTACACAGTCTTCCCACGGCTCTCCTCTCCCTCGAAACTTTGTTGCTGGGAGTCTTCACCCGGAGATGGGTGGAAGGAGGAGTGCAGAATCTGAAGGCAGGGCCAGTCGATAGGTCCCTCTCACCTGGATGCCCGCGGTGGGGACGGACCCTCTCCCCCCACTCCTGCCCTTTCCACCGGCCCAGGAGATTCAAGGCAGCCCCGGGCCTCGCGGATCTGAGTCTGCACCCCCCAGGGCTGCTTCAGCATCGGATCCCAGATCAAAGTGTTTTTTAGTAGGTGCAGAGGTTCGTTTCTGGCTTCTAGGTTTAGGTTTAGTCCCCTCCCACCGCAGAGAGCCAAACACACGCACACAATTGCACACTCACACGCATACTTCTATTTGAGGCTCACCCTCTTTTCCTACTGTCACAACCCCCGTCCCTCCCCCACTCCTCTTGTTGCTTCCCAGCTCTTTATCTTTTGCACTAAAAACTTTTTAAACGACCAGTGGGGGCGTTGATGGTTCTGGGATGGGCAACTAGGGTTTGGGCTGGGGTTTGCTTTCCCATGACAGATAAAATCGCTCAAGTGATTTCACCGCTGCTTCTAATTAGAAGGGAGCTTTAAAAGAAGCCACAGGATTTGGGGCTCCCGGGAGCTCACCTCCCCGGCAGGAACCACACCTGGCTGGGAGGGAGGCCTGGGCGAGGAGCTTAGCCCCAGGCTGCGCTCCCTGCCCAGCAGTGCCAGCTACCTCTCGACAACCAAGAGATCCAGTTGTCTGGGGATTGGGCCTGGAACGACTGGAACAGGCTCAGTTACCCTCCCGGCTGCCTTCGCAGGGACTGAGAGGTGAACCAAGAACCCCGGTGTCGAATCATCTTCTCTGACACGTCAGACAAAAGTGTGTAAGAGGTCAGTCCCGCTCTGAGAAGTGGAGGTTTGTCCCCACACCAAGACCTTCTCTTTCTAACTCTGCACTCCTGCCTACCCAGATGGCCTTGCGACCCCCCCCCCCCTCATGGTGTGGCGGTGTCTCTCCGAGAAGTCACCGAGTTGCTTAGGCATTTTAATTGTCTCTGGGCTGAGAGACTTTCTTGCTGCTGCCGATTCTCTCCTTGATTTGAAACTATC